GAAGTGTCTGGAGAGAGGGAAGTCTGGGCATCTTTGCTTAGACTGCTGCCCCTGTGACCCGGTTCCAGATAAGCGGAGGAAAATGGATGGATGGATGGAGTCAAAACTGAATACTTAAATAAATTAGAAACAAATTCAACCTAGTCACCTTATGTAATTTGTATTGCTACTGTATATCATATTTATTTCTATGCGTAGCCTATATGTATACAGTACCTTTTTAGGCTGATTTATGCACTTATTTGAACTCAGTTACTGCATTAAGATTTTGGTGCACATTTCTGGTGTCAGGGAGGAAACAAGAAGGTTGGCATCCTTTTGTTTGTATTGTCACCCACTTCACCTATCAGAAACCGCAAACAACATCTGAAGCAGACGAAAGAATAGAAGGACAGTATGCTTTACATGGGACATATGTGGAAAATAATAACGTAACTGTGCTATTGTAAGTTCATTTTAACCTGTGTAAACTTAACAAGTGAAGGACATAAGCCATAATAACACAAAAGTTAGACTATTACAGCAGCTCTAAACAAAATGCCTGACAGAAGTAGCAATACTCTTAAAAGATTAGGAGTTTTATGATATTTTTGGTTTCTAGCTTGAATGCCAAGTCACAAGTGCTTCTGCAGATTTTTTTTTTTTTTTTTTTTTTTTGTTAGACTGTGCTATCACATAAACACAGGTATTACAGTTTGGGAAAATTAAGTTAAAATAGTTTCCCAGGGGTTCATGAATGAGTAAATAAGCCACTGCCTTTTTTTATTTGCTCCATCAGGAAAGTTTTTGATATGGAACTGTTTTATATGAACTTCTTTGAATTCATTTCATTCTTATTATGTTCCATCTGCAGAGACAGTCAAATAAGTAACTGAACCTCTGGAGTAGTTTTCTAACAAGTAAACAACAAGAGTAGAGCGGCTAGGGTTCTGTAACTCAGCCACAGAATCAAACACATTTCTACACTTCCCCCTAATTAGTATGAAGCTACAACAGTACAAAACATGGCAACCCATCTGTTTGCATAGCCTGTTTGTGCTTGATCAGAGTGTGGGTGAGTGTGAGTACGTAAAACAGAAGGGGGAGGGGGGTTACATTATACTTTTTGAAACACAGTGTAGCAGAATCCTCATTTACGGGACTCAGAAGTATCTGATTTAATGCATTGTGGTTCAGAGCTCCACAGAGGATTTTACATCCTCTGTTTGTGTCAGATTGCATCTGATTAGGTTTACAGTACCTTTTACAGGGTGTTCCGATATTAAACAAAAGAATCAGGGATCCCACTGTAAACAAATGGAAGGTCAGATCAGTCAGGCCAAAGTCTGAAATAAAATACAATGTCTTTGCGTGCTTAAAAACTTGACTGCATTATAACTAATGATCCTTTTAATGAGCAGAATGTAAAGTGGAGCCCAGGCGAGCTGGATCGCAGCTTTATCTATGACAAACGGCTGAACATCCTAATTGTACTGAGAGATCTGTCAGAATAAATTTATACCAGAAAAGGGACTCATCTGACATGTTGGTGGGAGACAGAGCCAATTCCACTTTAAAAATTTATTTCTGTAAAGTATAGATCCAGAAATAAAGAGTAGTCTACAGCAGGCTAAAAATCACCAGGTCAAAATTGGGTCAATATTTGGTTAAGTTCACCCAGTAAAATGACCCAAAACTAAAACTATGGGTTTTGCTGATTAATGCTTTTATATTACTATTTACATTTTCATTTAATCTGCCAATTTTGTTTTGATTAATCATTATGAAATGTGAAAAAGATCCAAGTAATATCTTGATAAGTTGGCGACAGTGGTACTATTTTCCTGCATTTTTGATTGCTTGGTTTCTCTGCTGCATTTGGGGCAACTTACAATTTAATATTGCATTGTAATAGTTGTGTGTCTGTTTTTCTTTTATCTTTGTCTATTTGTTTTCATCTTATTTTATTTCATTTTAACAATACTTTAACTCTATTGTTTCTTAATTGATTTTAATCGGCAATGTATCCATTCAAGTGTAGGTATCACTTAAATGATGCAGGTAGAGCTAGAGAAAAAGAACTATATTTACCTCTCAAATGTGGTGGAGTATAAACTAATATTCATTAAAGTACTTAACCTCCTCAAAATTGTTCCATAGTAGAATAAATGTAGTTCGGTTTTTCACCTCATGACACTGCTATAATCTGCTATCACCATTTTCAAACTTGAATGTCGCCATTTGTACTGATAATTATGTACATCCCTTGTATCATTTTGTACAATACAGTACATAAAGATAAATAACCCAGAACTGGGCCAATTTAGTGTGTGTTGATTAGAAGCAAATTACATGTGATTTAGAGGGTCCTGAGCAGTTACAGCAGAAGGCATGATTATACTGAAACCTGGAAGAAACATGCACACAAAGTATCAAACAGAAAACAATAGAGGTTTCTTGCATAAAAACTGTCCCTTGTAAATGAAATCCAGCTTCCTGCGGTGATTAGATGAGACTATTAAAGAAGAACAGACAATTTGGCATAAATTCCATTATAAGAGGAGCTCTCTCTCTTCTACTGTCCAGATTGGCCATGTGACAACCACCAAAGTGAAAACGAGGGAGGAAATCTCTGATGTTTTTATCAGGGAGCTGAATGAGGGTACATAATTATTTAACCTCATTCAGAGAGGAGCTATGGAGTTGCCAAAGACTTCGTGACATGAACAATTAAAGCTACAGGACTGCAGGCAATCCTTGCTTATCCAGATTGTTTGGCAAGATTTCCAGTTTATCTGAACTCCTGCTGGTGCTGCCATCTCCCACACACCCACCTGATTTGCCCTGAAGCCTTATCAGGATGCAGGAAGCATCTTCTGCTGGATTTCTGTCACTGGTAGGCAGCTATCCTGTATTCTGACCCTCTTTTCAATCCTCTAAAGCTGTTTTCAAACAAATAAACGATACCAAACATCCTTTTTTCCCCCAAAGGCAATTTAAATGCGAAACATACTATATTCTCACCAAACATGAAGCGAATATGGAAAGTGAAGTTCTAAAAGGTCATGCTCCAAAAGTTCACATCCAGTGATGATGACCTGCAGGTGCAGGTTCTGCTAAATACAAGGACTGCATTCTATACTGATAAAAGAAAGCAACTTGGAAAAGTTCACTAGTTGGTGCGGCCGCTGAAACTGTACCATGGTCATTTTTGGACCTGCATCAGGATGTCCGTGGGACAATTTGAGATGCTGTTGCTGCTGCCACAACATTTGGAGAAGCAGAGGAGCAATTACAATGACCTGAATAACCAGGAACAGCGCCTGGCCATATGTCTGAGATAAAATGTATACTGAACACACCTTTAATAAATAGGTTTAGCTCACGGTGCACCATGCACTTGTGGTGACAATGTCACGACCTTCCAGCTGCATCATGATTGGTCACATTTGTTCCTGTCCTGGACAAAAAGTTAGAAAAAAAATCTATCTTGAGTCGAAAAGAATAAAAGCCACTCTTCTCTCAGCGATATTCCCTCGATGATGTGCAAGGCTTCACTGACATATTGGTTCAAAAATTATTATTGATGTGCGAAAAAAGTACAAAAATTCCCCCTCCAGTGTAAAAAGACTTTGAGTCTCATAATGTCACTCAGAGAAAGACACAAATGCCAGCAGGAAATGAACAGCATTATATTTTATTTCTTGATTAATTTGTCTTCTTGGCAGGTACAACAGAAAATGATGAAATCATCAGGGGGTAAATTTATGTTACAGACATTCAAAACAGGAAAAATCTTCATCAGATGTTGAAGCTGGTTCCTGAGAGCTTTAACACTTGTATAATAACGCATGGATACCAGCTGTGGTTTCTCCTCTGAATAATAAAAAATGAATGCACACTCACACTTTGATGAACAATACTGATGTTTGGTTTTCCACTGTAATAAATCATTAAAGAATGATAAGGCAAAAGTAAACTTCTTGTCCGGGAATAACCCTTGATGTGCAGTACAGAGTAACAAATGTGATTTTGAGGCACGCCATGTTTAAGGATGTAAAAGTAGGCTTTAATATTCACAGAGTCATGCATCACCAAACCACTTTTCAAATGTAAGTGTGGCAGTTGGCAGCACAAGATGTGCAGTAGAATACAAGAGAAGCCGTCCAGAGTGTGCCTCTACTGGCTGACTGACAATCTTGATAAAACCTCTACTGGGTGTGCAGGATATTTCCATCCATCCTTTTGTCACACAGCAGCTGAAACTGTAATTACATTTTAAAAGTACAGAGCTCCAAAACACCACTGTTGTTGCTTGAAGCTTTTAAAACTGCAGCACAAATGAATGGTTGAAGTAGATAAGCAATATCTAATTTAATACCACACTCCTGCCCCCAAACTCTTCAAATAATGCTGATTTAATTTCAAAGAAATGTTGTATAAAGCAAAACACAAGATAGCATGTTGATCGGAGAATATAGAGATAACAAAATGCCTTAAATGAAGTGCAGAATGCTTAATCAGATTTTCTGCAAGCCACTTGTGATTAAAAATGAACATTTGCACAGTATCTGGAGCTGTTTCTGGAGCGCCCTGCCTGTTTACCCATTAAACCACACAGACAAATAAAGGCTTCAGAGAGGGAATTCACTGATAAGAAGAAAACCTCCAAACAATAACAATTCTCAAAAGTGATAATGGCATTTTATTTATGTATTGAAAACTAAATAGACCATCCTATTACCAGGAAGATGGAGACAGGATTATCAGGCAATACTGATTATGTTTATATAAATGGGAAAAAAAGTGAAAACAGTCAGATCAACACGATATTAATAATGACAGTATATCAAGAAGAATAATACGTTTTCTTTTACATCATCTCTATATACTGGTGGTATTGTGCTTTGATAAGATTTTTGCAACTAGAACACAGATACAGAAAAGTTTTAACAGCCCCGCAAAACTCCAAAGGATTTTCAACAATTAAGTCGATTAGAAAAAGCGAACAACTCACCTCACCTCACCCCCCGGGTTAAGATAAGAGTAAATCAAGTTGAATGAGGACTCTTCGACTCATTGGGCACAGAGGAAAATGAAAAAACAAACAAACAAACAAACAAACACATGAGGAATGAAACAAGTTGCAGCTCATCCATTTACACAAACACACACCATACCAGCTTGGGTGCTGATGTTGGCACCAGTGAGCCTATGTGAGGTGACACCCACACACAGCATAGCTACACACATACCAGAAATATATGGGGTTATAATCTCTCTTTTCCTTTATATCACTGAGGCAAACTTGGTAATTATAGATATATCAAAATTAGAAGTGAAATGAAAAACATGCACCGGACAAATACAAGCATGCAATTACAGGATGAGACCTGAAATCGTTAAATGGAAGCTGATGCACCTCTACCGCTACCGCTGTCGCCCAGGACCCGAGAAAGTGTCCCTGCCCACCTGACTACTACACTCATTGTGAACACAGATACAGTACATTCTCAAACAAACTACACAGTAGGAATCCAGCTGTTGTTTTATAGAGCGCTGCAAAAGTTACAGATGTTGCTACTTGTACAGTGGAGTAAGCAGAATGAATATCTGTCCCACTAGCAGGCCGACGTTGTGTGAAACCACCGTGTTGATGTGTAATATAAAGGCATGGGGTCTTTTTCTGAGCTGCTGTCTATGGTGTGATTTCTGTATATTTTCCCTTATTTATTTTTTACACATTTTTGTCTTTTGACAGAGAGGTCCGTGTTGGCAAGGTTTCTCCATGAGTGTCCTTTTGCGGCAGTATTCCAGAGGAAAACACACAGATAGAAGAGTTTAGAGTGCTGCATGAAATAGCAGCAGAAAACTAACAGATAAACATTATATTTGGGATATCCTCTCCACTTAGCTTTAGGTGGAAGTTCTTTGTCGTATCTGATTTGTCTGTTTTCCTCCATTTCTATTAAAAAAGTCCTTCCGTTAGACTATGTATCAGTTCCTCACACTTTCTGTGTCAGATAGTTCTTGTTGTATGGTTGGCTTTGGTTGCATAACACACACTTTGAGGCTTCCCCGGGGTCTGCTCAGCAAGTGAAGTCTTCAAAGTTACCCTGGCCTGGGTGATGAGGTAGCATGTTGCCAGGGTATGTTGATGGTGTACGCAGGTTCTCGGAAGGAGCCTGAGATGGAAATGTGAAGAGAGAAGTCATAAACACCTCCTCATCTCCTGACCCAGCAACAACCTGGGTCAGGAGGTGAGAGGAAATACATGCTTAAGAAATACTCTGAAAAATTATGCAAATAATGAAGGTGGACAGAAAGAGAAAACTACAAAGTAAGTGTAGATCAGAGGAGGAGCACATCATTCCCTGCTCTTCTTCCTGGTCTCTGACTTAGAATTAAAGTGACCTGACATCATTTACATTTGGAAATAAGTGAGCTGTTACACCTTCCAAAGCTCTAATTTCAACCTGTCCCTGCTGGTCCTGTCCTTCAGCTTTGACTAAATTCCAGCCACTTTTGGCTCTCCTGCTTCTTTCAGTTTTCCCTCACTCCCAATCACTTTTTCGCTCCCACTTGTGTCTCTCAAGTCTTTCTGTCCCCTAGCTTCCTCCAACTCTGTCTCTTCACTGTCTCACTGTTTATTCTTCCACACCACCACCACCACTGTTTCATCCTCCTTCTCTCCAGCTGCAGTTAAGATCAGCGAAGACAAAGTGACACAGAGAAAGACTAGGGTGAACCTGTCAGAGCAATGCAGTCTGACATAGTGAAAGCACTTAGCAGGAGCCTACTCACATGGCGTTTCACATCATCCAGGCTCAGCACAGCTCCCCGGTCTTTGTTGGTGCGGCCTTTGTGTTTCTTCCTGAAGCATTGGCACAGCTTGTACTTGATCACCTGAAAATAGGTGATGACACTGATTACTGACTTTTAGGGATCAAAACACAGTACCCAGTTTTTTTGTTGTTTCTGCTTAATGCTTCTTTTTTGGCTTTTCATAGTTCAAGGCCACAGACTCTGGAGTTTAAAGGATGAGGCAAACTGAAATTAAAATGAGACTGATTTTATGCTTCTATAAATATGTTTCACCATTAATCTTGTGCATGAGCAGGTGTTACTTTTAGCTCCATCCATTGCACATGCACACATCTCAAATCAAGGCCTAACAAACACATAAAAAAACCTGGGCTTCACTGGTATAACAGAAAGCAGAAAAGATTCATGCATCAGAGAGCTACTTAAATGAGAAGGACAAAGACATTCTGACTAATCTAAAATAAAATACATCCAAAATGTTAATATATTCAGTGTTTGTTGCACAGAGATGGGCTGCAAAGTTGTGAGGGACAGAGTGTTTATCATGCTCGCTAAAATACGTCCGTATGCGGATGTTAACACCGTGTGAAAAACTTGATTATGTGAGCGAGCAATTTCAGAATAATGTAGCAGCACAAATTTCCACAAACAATACATTACACTGGATGTTTTATCTACTGTAAGCGAGCAGCTCCACATAATGAGACTTCACAAAAGAGACATTTTACCTCATATAGATAGTCAAAGAGTTCAAGGATGGTGAGGAGGCTGGCTCCAATGAAAAGGCCCATTTGGCCTCCGATATCGCCTGGAAAGACAAACAAGAAAGAACAAATTGTGGAAATCATCCCATATGAAACAGAGGCTGACTTTAAAACATACTTTTTATCTTTGAAAAGTGAAAAACAAAACAGAAAACACAGCAAAATGTAGCTGAACAGTCATGATAGATTAAAGAGACAGTTTTGTGTCTTCTGGGAGCTGAATTGTAAAAATGCAAGCACTTGTGCTACTGTCACTTTGAATAAAAAGCATCTGTCACATTGCATACCGCATATGATTTATTCCCAAGCAAACACAGACAGCCATTTCCTTACCCAAAAGCCCTGCGAATTCATAGGCTTTCGTTTGTTCAATTGTTTCGTAGTTCAGTGCTTCGAAGTAGATATCCAGAACCAGAATGTTCTCACTGTGAACAGAAAGAAAAACACATCTTTGTCTTAGTGTAATCCACACACAGTACTTAATTTTCTCATATTTATGTCTAGACACTTTATACACTTTGTTATCAAAGTGTCCTCAGGTGGAGAAGATGACTGGTGAGTCAGACGCTTCCTGAAAATAATATGGTAAATGGTCTTATACTTGTATAACGCTTTTCTACACTTTTACAGCAGACTCAAAGCGCTTTTACACTACTCGGCCATTCATCCATTTGCACTCCCAAACACTCACACATTCACACACCAGTGACATCACCGGGAGCAGCTGGGGGTTCAGTGTCTTGTTCAAGGACACTTTGACTGGACAAGCCGGGAATCGAAACCACTAATCCTTCGGTTAGGAAAGGACCCGCTCTACCTCCTGAGCCACAGCCGCCCCCTGCAATGTAATATAATATATAATATATATAGTAGATGTGGGCGGCATGGTGGGTAGTGATTAGTCGCCTTACAGCAAGAAGGTACTGGGTTCGCACCTCGGCCGACCCGGGGCCCTTCTGTGTGGAGTTTGCATGTTCTCCCTGTGCCTGCGTGGGGTTTCTCCAGGTGCTCTGGATTCTTCCCACAGTCCAAAGACATGCAGCTTAGGTTGATTGTTAACTCTAAACTGCCCCTAGGAGTAAGTGTGGGTTTGAGTGGTTGTCTGTCTCTATGTGTCAGCCCTGTGACAGACTAGTGACCTGTCCAGGGTATTACCTGCTTCTCACCCAAAGTCAGCTGGGATTGGCTCCAGCCTCCCTGCGACCCTCATTAGTATAAACAGTAGAGATAATGAATGGATGGATATAATAGATGTGTAGAGTTCAGAAAATAACCTGCCTTCAGTAAGTCATTTCCCCTAGGTGGGTGTAGTCATTGAAGAATACAAGGGAAATGATGACAGTTGTTTGATTTAATACAGTGTTAATGTCTAAAACTTGTGACTTCAGCAGAAAGAAAAAGAATGGGAATTGCTTAAAAGGCCTGGGGCAAAGCAGGCCATTATTTTGAGTCCTGATTATCTTCTTTATGAGTAGAGTAGAACTTCACGCTCCACTGGAATTGAGACCAAAACTGCAATTGAATTTTGTAGTATCTTTTTTTTGTATTTGGTGAGCCGTTTTAACACTTAAATTTAAATCAAGACAAGTAATGACCTGTCAGTCCCAAAAGAAACTCTGCTGAAGCTGAGGGCTGAGTAGAAATGATTAAATGCAAATTACAGCTGATAATAGATATACTTCCAGCTCTGCAGCTTCACTGCAGTGTTATATATTGCTACAGTAATCTCTTGATACAACTGACCTGTATAACCTTTTAAGCCAGTTTGATCACGTTTGTATCATTTCGTGTTCATATATTTCCACTTCTAGTGGCAAAAGTTGTGGTGTCCGACGCGTGGTTCATCATTTACTTTAAGTATTACAACTGCTTATCCATCATCTTTAGTAATGTTAATGTTGTTGATGTTTAAACTGTTAACTTTTAGTGTTTTATTGTTTGGACTCCTCTGCCTCCTTGCTAACTAGTTTTCTTGCATATCACAACACAGTTTTCAGGTCTTACAGCCGAGTCAAAATGTGGATCCATTTTTTAAAATCAAACTGCAGTTTCTTTCTTTCTTGCTTTCAAATCAGTTGAGCTTCTCAAAAATCTTTCCATGTACCCTCTGGCAATTGCTGAGGTACTTAGTTCCTGGGGTATAACTACCCTTGGCTGGGAATCACTGATATTGGTGGTTTGTGTGTTGTTATTAGTGATATTCCTGGGTGTTTTCTCTGGATTTCAGGCCCATCTGTGTGAGGTGTCAGCCTTCAGTTTGAACGTAGTTTTCTCGCTGTCACCTGTTCTCACTGTAAATAAGTAACCTGCAACACATCTGATCAGAGCTGCTATCATGAAGCTGTCTCTCTCACTCCGTGTTTGTGTGATTCCCAGTAGAAAGACGGGGCACTGTCACAGACTTCAGTTTCACACCACTAAACACTGTGAAGCCCAGACACCAGAACACTCCCAGTTAATGTTCATCAAACTGATATGCTTGGAAATATGGCCAGTCAAAAATGAGCAGGATGGATTCACATCTGTCCACAGTGAATGAGAAAAACCTTTCCGAAGGGAGACGTAAAAGGTTTTTGCTGCACTCTGGCTACATACAGCGTAATTATCTTGTCCTCAACAGCTCCGCTGGGAGTGATAGATAAAAGTTTAAACTATTATTGCAACCTCTCCTCATTTTCTTGAACTTCTTTTGATCTTTTCAGTAGATTTGGCAAAGAAACCCTCATTACTTAACTGATTAATCAAGTGAGGCTCTAACTGGAAGCTCCCTATTTTATTTCCTCACCTCAATTAAAAAAATCCAGGTTTGAGAAGGGGAAAACTGATTGCAGCAGTTACTGAGGAGTCGTTAGGCAAGTTACCCGAAGGGGAAATCGACCCATAAACACATAAATTCCACAGAGAAAAAAAGGAGGAGGCAATAAAAATTGTTTGGTGGCATTTTTTTCTTATCCTTGTGTCTTATCTTTTTAATGCAGCTGTCTTGTCAGTGTGCCCTTGCAAGAGCGGTCATAAACCTCAAGGACCTTTCCCTGGTTAAACAAAGTCAAATAAATAAAATAAAACTTTTAGCCTTACTAGTAACTGACAGTTGATGTGACCTCGTTTCAAGAGATTTACAGTGCAGCTTTTATGGTGTTTATGCACTAAGTAGTTTAATCAGTTTTAAACAATGATAAACATTAGCTTTTAGTCTTAGTTCCTCACAATCAAGACCACTAAATTAAAAGCTGAAGCAGTTCTTATAAATCCAAGCTCATCCTTAGATAAATAAGACATTAAAAATGTGACTTACGCTATGTACTGCTCTGTCTTGTTGAATTTCTTGGCAAGGTATTTGGCTGATGCTTTGCTGGGTATCTTGACAAAGGACAGCTCTTTGCCGTAGCGTGTCAAGTTGCATGGTGTGTCGCACACACAATAGTCACTGTCTTTCTCAACAAGAAAGTCTGAAAAATGAAGCAGGCAGAAAGAGAGCGAGAGATGGAGAAGCCAGAAACAGACAGATTGAGAGAGAAGACACAGAGACAGATAGATTTATCAGCACCACAGGAAGACAAACAAAATACCAGAAGAAGAAGCCAACAGAGTAAATGGGGTCAAAGAAAACGTGAGGAAAAAACATCCCAGAGACCCTTAGAAGGAATACAAAAAAATTATAAGGCCTATGCTGACACGTGAGATGTTGAAAGAGCGAGAGACTGCAAGTCAATAAGAAAACAAGTACCTGAAAGGCCTGAAATGTATCAGCTGATGGAGAGACAGGGGAGTGTGAGGAGAGCCTCAGTGCCAGGTCTGAGGTTTACTATTTGAGAATGCTGAAGGGACACTATTATCTGTTATCAGCTTGGATCAGGGGCTATGAATGGTGCAACATACACACTGAAGTGTGCATAAACACACAAGCAGGATGCTGGGCTATCTCCTTACCCAAGGCAGGATCTGCACAGTCCTTGTACTGTTCCGGGGTGCAGTAGGGGGCATCACCTAAGGACAGGAAGAAGAAATACAGTGTTCTGAACAAAAAAAAGAGCAAGGGAGGAAAACGGATGACGAGATTTGGGCTTATAATTAATTTTATCTCAGACTATTACTTCCGTGCTTATCATGACTGGATATTTGTAGCAAATTCGATCTCATCTTGTAATTGATTTCATTAACTTTTGTACTTTTGCTACCTCTCATCACTACATTCAGTCTCTTCACCCTCTCTATCTTTTTGTTGTTGGCAGTTGAGCCACCCCCCTTCTTCTATCAGGACAACGCAGGAAAGATACATGTCCTAGATATAGAGGAAATTATATCAGAGCTGCTATTATTCACAGAATTTTGGTTCATACTCTTTAAAAATCACCCTAATGACATGGAGATAGGAGAGGTGAATATAAGCTGAGCACAATTCACAGGGCAGAGGAGTCTAACTGGGGAGTTCTCTATAGACTCACATTAATCAGCTGCACAATCACTGTAAGATGGCAGCTCATCCTGATTATCATGCAGACAGATTGTCTGGCTGACTATATGCAAACACAGCTGTGAAAGTGACCCCGATTTTAAAGGAAGAAATTAACAATCATTGGACAGGTAAGTGAGGGTTAATGAAAGCCAATTCCAAATGTTCTGTCTGTGCCAAACTTCTTTTGAATTTGTCATGTGAGATGCCACACAGTGATTAAATGCAGAAGGCAGACGGCAAATGCCAGTTGTAATCACTGCACTAACACAAAGTGAGAGTAGTTGAGTTTTCCGATCCACTGGAGTGTGAAAGTATCTGATTTTCTACCGTCGCTGGCAAAAAGCTGTTTGTTCCTTAACTGGCTTTTGTCACCACAATTTCACATGAAAGCACTTCTGATCACGACAACAGATGCTACAACAATCTAGATTTTTATAATCAAATACAGAAATATCCATCTCCAGCAATGAGGGGCCCCTACTGGTCCCTACCAGGCATGTGGACCATCCTGCAGTTGCAGTTCTCTACCAGGTATCGTGTCTCACAGTCGATCCGGCAGGCCGTGATGCTGTAAGTGCTGAAGAAGTCTGAGTCCATTGCCTTAGCCTTGCAGTCCCCCCATGGTGGAGGCAGGTATATCAGCTGAGAGAGAGATAGACAGCAACAGTGCAGAACTGCTTCAGTTATAAATCGCACTCTGCTGAACATTCCGTCCTCTGCTCTGTTGCACTGCAGCCATTTGACCTTGTACCTTCTGTCAATATGATGATAAACATTTCTTTGTCTTTATGATAAGTCGTGACATATCTATTGTATTTATGACAGAATGAATCTCATTCTTACTCCACAGTGAATACATGTGTATAGTGGTGTTTATTGTGGGAGCGTCTCTCCTACACAGTTCCTATTCCTAGGATCCCTCAGTGCTTTCATTGTACTGCCCACTCTTCATGCAGGAGCTGAATAGTATCAGCTGTGTAGAAGAGCTGTGATGTTGTAAGAGTTTCATTCTAAACCAGCGCTGCTGCAGGACAAAGTACGGTGTCGTGTGCCTTGCCTTTTGTTCCTACATTTTATATCACCCTTGTGCTACCTGTGCAATAAAACATGCAGTGAATGTAGTTATATGGACTGTTCTGTCATTAACAGGTCAACACAAGAAGATTGGGAAAAGGATTCAGTAACATTTTATTGTATGCATCTCCTGAGTTTCCTGCAAAGAACCATCTAGTTTGGTATTAATTATAGAAAAATAGAGTTAGTCCACTGAGTTGTGTTGACTTCATTATTGGCTTCCAGATAAATTTCCATGAAAGAAATTGCTCAATGTAAACTACAGTTTATTTATTAATTATTTAAAATGGTATTCTTCATTTATGCTGAATTGGATGGCTGTTTGTAGATACATTTAACAATATGCTTGTGTAGCTCACCTTCTGCCCTTTGAAGAAAACCTCAAGTGTGGAAGTGTACCAACTAATCACTTTCTAATTTTACATATAAACAGTACCAAATTATATGGCTCCTTCCAACAAAGCAACAAAAGCAGAAGCCAACCAAACAGGCCAGAAATCAGCACACTCCTACTGGCTGTGGCTCATGAGGTAGGGCAGTCGTCTCCTGACCAGCAAGTTGGTGGCTCGACTCCCGGTCTCCCCGCATGCCTAAGTGTCCCTGAGCAAGACACTGAACCCCGAATTGCTCCCGGTGGCTTGACTAGCGCTGGTGCATGGCAGCCTGTTGTCATTGGTGTGTGAATGGGTGAATGGTGTATTATCTTCTGTAAAGCGCTTTGGCCAGTGCAACACACTGGCCACACACAAATACAGTCCATTTACATTACAATCAATCTACAGTATATTTATATACTGTACATATATAGATAAATATAAAACAAGATAATGATGTAAATATTGCATTATACTGTTCAGATAGAAAAAGCTAATGCAACAGAGTGCATTTTGCAATTTGCAAATTATATGCAAATATAGGCAACATTAATTTAGATTTCAGCTGAATTAAAACTGAAAAATAGAAGGGTAAAATTTAATGCATTAAATGAAGTAGGCAGCTGTAAAACAGCCCCTGTGTGTTTCCATCTCATCAGCTCGAACAGTGCATCACTGAGTGCTCACGTAGCAATAAATTAAAGGCCGCTGTTGTGATTTAGGGACCTGCACTTTACAATTTGTACTGAAGTGCAAGAGGCAGCCACGTGTGTCGTTTACTGGGTTTGATTACTAATAACCCAAGGCGATGTTTAACATGTACAGACAGTATTCACACACATATACAGTACATATCCAGTCTAGAGCACTCAAGAAAACCTGATAGCTCCAAATAAAATCTAATCAGGAGACTGCAATAATTTCTCAGGTTTTTTTTCACTTCATGGATGGCTCACAAAGTCAAACGGAGCATAAAAATCATCAAAGCTGGATAAAATGTGATAATCTGTAATAGGTACTTGTGCATTTATTCACCATATCATGTGGACTATTTGCTGTACTCAGCCATCCCAAATCACCTTGTAGCAACACTGGTTACTGTTGGTTACACTTTAGCAAAAGCTTAATTGTACGAGTGTGGACAAAAGTGAATCTGGTGTAAGAGGTTTCAGTTTATTTTAGTGTGTTTAATGATCACAAAGAAGAAAACAAATCATGTTACGACTGTGACCTCAATTGCTAGAGAAAGCGATTGAAAGGGTGAAAGGCAGAAAGGAGAGAGTCAGCAAGTGGGCAGCAAAAGAGGAGGATGGAGAAACATTTTGAAGTTTTTGCTTTTTATGTTAACTAGGGGTGGAACTGCATATTTTTCTTTTGTGGGATAATGCTGGGTGGCATTTTTACAGTACAGGACTGCCGAAGCACGGTGCTGAATGAATGTGAGCAAACTGCATTAGATAAATAAAAAGCCAGTCTGCCAGCCTGTGAAATAAATAAATATAGAGAGTGACAGAGAGGAGAATCATATTATAGACAGAGGAATTGTATTAGTGGAACTGTATTGACTGTGGGAGAGGAAAAAACTTTAGGAGCTCTAGTGAGAAACGGAGAAAAACAAAGAGGGACAGTCTTCTGCAGACACGACATTGGCAGGATTCAAACT